ATGAGTGTGTGCACATTTGCGTGAATGTGTGAGAACAAGTGTGTATATATGTGTGAAAGTGTGCATGTGAGGGACTGAGTGTGGGGACTGAATGCTGGGCCCTCGGCTCTTGACTACTGGAACTTCCTCAGAGCCACCAAGGAGAATGTCTTCACAAAACAATGTAACAGCCTTGTGACATGTAATCACAGATATGTAATCACACACATGCTACCATGTGCAAACAATCATGTGCATATAACTTACATGTCATCATGCAGATAATCAGTCATGTAACCATGAGCATGTGTGATCACATACACATGACTGTCCCATGTAAACACATACACATTACCACCTGGCAGCCAATCACGCAATGTCATTATGTATGTGGTCATGCAGTGTAATTACACACATGTAGACACAAATATGGCACATGCACCACTTTGCTGTATTCTGCATGGCAAACAGGAGTCCTGGTTCTCATGCACACTGAGGGGAGGGGGTCACACAAGTGGGAGCACGGGAGGGTCCTTAGCATCTCTGAGGGAACGGGAAAATCCTGGGAAGCACTGTGCATCTTCCAGAAGACTTCATGTATTTCACAAAAGGCAGCTCTGAAAGTTAAGTTTGGAGGAGCCTTCAGTCTTACACTTGCGTCCGCCTCTCTGCTCCTTGTCAGAAAACAGGCACCACAAAAGAAACCCCTAATGGCCCCGAATGATGCAGTCAAGGTGTTCACTCCTCAAGCACCTTGGATGTGATGGGCATGGTTCTAGAGAGGTTTAGTCAATGACCTTAAAGCTGTGGGCTATTGTAGGAATAACTGCAAAAAGTGACCTGGGGAAAGAGAGTTCATATGTTTGGGAAGTGGAAGGTGCCACATCAACTAAGATGGTGGGGGCTAATTATTAATAACCTAACGCCGTGGTAGGCAAACTGCAGCTCTAGAGCCACATGTGGTTCTTTGGCCCCTTGAGTGTGGCTCTTCCACAAAATACCACAGCCTGGGGGAGTCTATTTTGAAGAAGTGGTGTTAGAAGAAGTTTAAGTTTAAAAAATTTGGCTCTCAAAAGAAATTTCAGTCATTGTACTGTTGATATTTGGCTCTGTTGACTAATGAGTTTGCCTACCACTGATGAGCAATGCTACTGTTTGGTCAGGGACCCTGTTACCAGGGCAGTTGTCTTCTTCAAACTTAGAAAACCACCTCTCCCCTTTTCAGGGAACAGTAATATAAAGCAAACAGCAGCCAAAACCAGTTTGGCTCAGTGGATGGAGCGTCGGCCTGCAGACTGGAAGGTCCCGGGTTCGATTCTGGTCAAAGGCATGTACGTTGGTTGCAGGCACATCCCCAGTAGGGGGTGTGCAGGAGGCAGCTGATCGATGATTCTCTCTCATCGATGTTTCTAACTCTCTATCCCTCTCTCTTCCTCTCTGTAAAAAATCAATAAAATATATATATTTTAAATAAATAAATAAATAAAGCAAATAGCACTGGGAGAGAGAGGTACATCCCCTGTGGATTACCAGTATTTGTTCTCTGAGTTTCCAGAACATGTTTAGAACTGGCTCAGCACCTGGGCAATGATGGGAGTACCTAGTGGATGAAAGATCATAGGTCACTGGTTCAGCACCTTCCAGGGTTCTGGCCACAGCTTTGTGTGTGCTCCAGCACGAGACATGGGCATTGGTGCTCTGCACCTACAACTGCCAATCACATCTCATGAGCTCTGAATCCCCCTGGAAAAGACATGGCCATCTTACTGCTCCATAAGGAGGAACCAAAAAGAGCCTTTGTTTGTGGGAGAAAAAGAGAGAGAAAGTCACTGGAGAGATGCAGCCAGGAGGGGCCAGAGAAACTGCCCGGAGACCTAACATTTCCATTCAGCTGCCCTAATGTCTTGCTTCTCTACCGAGCTATCATATAAAAGCAAGGATTCTCAGAGACAAGAGCCAAACACAAAATAGCACTGTGAGGGCACATAGCGCTGAATTGTCACTCACGGCCTTCAGAGAACAGAAGGAAAGTGTCTCCAGTTGAACTATGCATCCGCTCATTTCGGGGTGCCCATGGTCGGCCCGCCTGGGTGGCATCTGGCTTGTCTGTGTGTGGGTTTATTTTTCTCACTTTTTACTTCCCCCACATCATAACAGAAACTACCGTTTTTATTTTCAAAATTTATCAATGTTCCTACATTGGTTAAGGATTTACACCATGTTCCCACATCATTCCAGGGCTTAGTCAACACAACTGCTCTTACGTGCAAATAGCAAACACATTTCTTAGTAATGTGACATTCCGTCTTTTTTTTTTTTTTTTAGTGGAGTTTACAGAACATAATTTAGAGATTTATGTTAGTTAAAAACACTCTCCCCCCCCCCAGTTGCCTATGAGAATATTACTTTTTTTATTATTTTGATAAATTTTTAAGCTAGAATGGAATTTATAATCTAGAAAACAACCCTTTAAGATTGTAAATCACAACTCTTCGAACCTGAACAATTGTTTTCACTTTAGGAACACATGTGTAAGGTATGAATAATAAAATGTATCTTATAAAATATCGCCAAGGTACCTTTATAATGATATAAAATCTGTTATAATCCCAATGAGAAACCTAAGTCATTTTTATTGTTAAGTGGTATTTAAGAATTAATTATGCCACACAAGTGTAGTTGCTTAATAAATACAATGCATTTTAGGGTGCTTCCAAGTTACCTTGAATTCTAGACAGGAGAACAGTTTTCCATCCCCTTACAGCCCCCCGAATGCGCAGTAAGTGTGTACATGGCCATGTGGAAGTTTTTCTGCACTGAAGTCACTCCCATAAAGCACTGCTTAAGGCTGTCCCGTTGCACTGAATTGTCCTCTCATCGCAACTATGAAGTCAATCCAGGAACTTAGAAAGCAATGACTGTGGAGGAACCTGCCTTCTGATGCCCCTATCCATCAGATGAAATCGGCACCCGGTGCTTTTGGGGTGTTGGGGTTGCCTGTGGTGGGAATAAAGAGATTATTCTGGAGTCTTTCCTGCACTGGAACCTGCTTATTTATAAATGAATTCATAACCCGCGGAAAGTGTGCTGCATCTTCATTTTTAAATTCAGAATCCCCATCTGCCCTTCCCATATTCTTGGTGTTGCCTGGAAAATGAGAGCCCCTGGATCTGACGAAAGCCAAGGAGAAGCCTGTGCGTGGACTGCACCGCAGCGCGGCTCACTGTCTCTGTTACTATTTGGGACGCCACAGCGACAAAAACAACTTCTCTGCGCCTGTTCCCTGAGACCCTCCTTCTGGCCGCCAGCCCTGGCTGCTGCCTGTGCAGGGCTGCGTCACTGCTCCGAGCTCCTTTCAGAGGCAAATTCATGCACGCACTCATGCATGCCGCAGCGTGTCTGGGTGTCTGGGAGCCTCCGTGGTGCTGACAGTGGCGCTGACAGCGGGTCAGGCCCTGCTGGGCTGTCTTCTTAAGGCCCTGCCTGCTCCCCGCCCAGCAGCCCCTCTGTGCCCTCGGGATGACAACACTCTGGTTTCAGCCTCTCCAAGGGTCAGCCAGATAACCCGCTGCAAGAGGCCTTATCTTTGTCCTTCCTCCCCTGCTGTCCCCTGAGAAGGGACAGAACCCAGAGGGCCCACAAAGGAGAGCTGAGAGCCGGTAGAGGAGGGCCCGCACAGGAGTCAGGGTGCCAGCAGCCGCAGGCCAGTGTTCCTGGTCCTCTGTACCCACTGACCCCATGTCTCACAGTACTGGGGGCCGAAGTCCAAGATCAAGGTGCCAGCAGGGTTGGTTCCTTGGGGAAGCTCTCAGGGAGGACCTCACCCAGGCCTCTCCAGGAGGCAGGTGGCTCCCCGTGTTCCCTGTGATTCTTGCTTGTGGCCACCTCACTCCAATCTCTGCCTCTGAGTCCACGTAGCTTCTCCCTGTCTCTCTGCTTCCCTGTTTCCCTCTATAAGCACAGCAGTCACACTGGCTTTAGCGCCCACCCTAATCCACAAGGCCTCACCCCAACTTGATCACGTCTGCAAAAACTACATTTCTAGCCCTCACTGGTTTGGCTCAGTGGATAGAGCATCAGCCTGCACACTGGAGAGTTCTGGGTTCGATTCCAGTCAAGGACACATGCCAGGGTTGCTTGCCTAGTCCCCAGTAGGGGGCATGCAGGAGGCAGCCGATCGATAATTATCTCTCATCATAGATGATTCTATTTTCTCTCCCCTCTCCTTTCCTCTCTGAAACCAGTAAGAATATATTTTAAACACACACACACACACACACACACACACACACACACACACACACACACCTCTATTTCCAAGTAAAGTCACATTCACAGGCTATACATGGACGTGAATTTTGGGAGCCCAACCAGCTTGCCTAAATCCCTGACACCTGGAGCTCTGCCCACCTTCAGTGTCAGACCCTCCTCTCAAACCCCACCGTGGCACAGCTCCTGCCCCTTCCCAGGCCTCAGCAAGGATGAGTGCAGGTCACCACCTGACACTGGAGTAGGTCATCCTCAGGCTTCAGCAGGAACATAATCTGAAGCTGCTGTGTGATGGGGGCCAGACTCTGGGGACCCTCTGGGGCAGGCGTCTTCAAACTATGGCCCGCGGGCCACATGCGGCCCGCAGAGGAGTCTGATCCGGCCCGCCAGGTTTTTTGGTCAGTGAGCGCAGCCGAGGTGTTACAGTAGGAATTAGTAGTTCATATAGTCCGGCCCTCCAGCTCTCTGAGGGACCGTGATCTGGCCCCCACTTTAAAAAGTTTGAGGACCCCTGCTCTGGAGGGTTTTGGACTATGTTCTGCGAATCCCTCAGGGAGTGTCCGACCCCCCTGCAGCAGGGCTGGCATTGGATCTGTGTCTTTGCAGGGCCAGCCCTGCATTCCGACTTCCGATCAAGGAGTTGTTTCCACCTCATTGCCCTACAGAGGAGGTGACTTGGGCTCTTCCATGAGACTTGTGTCCCCAGCGCACATGGCCAGCCTCTCCATGGGCCCTCACTGCACAGGGCTTTCTAGTCTTAAATTGCTATTTATTCCAATGATCTGCAAGAAGACAGAGATGTCAGGTGCCGTTGGTGGGATTCTGTATAAGCCAGTTACAGGGGCAAATAAAAAGCAAGGACGATGGTCCAACAAGGAACCAAGAGACATCTTGTTGCCACATTAGGGAGAGTGAAGACGACGATGTACTAATTAAATAGGAGACTAAACAGGACAAACCTTTTGAACAGGAGACATAACATTTAAGTGTAAAATCAACATGGTGGGGGAAAGGTCGCAGAAGATCAAGTAAGGCCTCACACTTGAGCTTCTCCATTTTCTTATGGATCAATATTACATTTTTTTCTAGCTAAAATGCAACAGCAGAGTTATTGCTGACCTTTCGCTCACCCTTCTGCTGTGAATACAATCACAGCAAAAGAACAAATGACTTTATAAGCCACAGAATTTTTCTGATCCAAACCCCCAGGTGAGCTGAAATCTTCCTCAAAAATCCATTCCACTTGAAAATAGGAAGACTGAGCTGCTCCTCTAATCAGACACTAGAGAACACCATTGCCATGAAAAATAAATCACCCATCAAAAATGGTTTGTCATCACTGCCAGTGGCACAGGTAGGACTGCTGTGCCATCCTTCCTAAAAGTCAACGCAAGTGTCAAATGTGAGATCGATGCCTCTGTGAGCCAAGCTGCAGTTACCACGGTGATTCCATCATGCCTTCTTTATCTCAGAAATTATTTAGGTCACTGTCCAAATTACTTCTTATGAATCGAGAGGAAGTCCCACGTGGAGAGGAAAATCCAACGGTTTCTTTGAGAAAGCCACCTTCAGGATGGAGCTACTACCCCAGGCTCCTAAGGGGAGACTCCAAACCAAGCTGGTTTACATTCAGATGAATTTGGCTTCAAAAACTTGAAGCTGGATTTGACCACTTTCCCTGTGAGAAGAGCTCCTCTGGGACCAGGGCACTGCCAGGCCTATCCCAGGGCCTCCTCATTTCGCCGAGTGCTTGTACTGGTTGTTTTAGGTTGAGTCCTGAGTCCGCATGGAGAAGCACTGTGTTCCCACACTGCTTGTGCTCAAAGTCTCCCTGGTAAAAAATAACAAGGACACAAAACATGAGAGCTGATTTTTTTTAAATATATTTTTATTGATTTTTTTACAGAGAGGAGGAGAGAGGGATAGAGAGTCAGAAACATCAATGAGAGAGAAACATCGATCAGCTGCCTCTTGTACACCCCCTACTGGGGATGTGCCCGCAACCAATATACATGCCCTTGACCGGAATCGAACCCAGGACCTTTCAGTCTGCAGGCAATGCTCTATCCACTGGGCCAAACCAGTTTCGGCCATGAGAGCTGATTTTAATAGGCTTTTTGATTCACAGTAAAATAAAAATAATCTTTCCAATATTAAAAAGATATGGATTTTCTTTAGATCTAATGAGTGACAACAGTAGACCTAATATAGAAACTCTATACCCATGTAACAGGGAAACTTGCCTAGACGTGAGTGGTTGGTTTAGCACAATAGTCGGCAAACTCAACAGAGCCAAATAACAACAGTACAATGACCACAATTTCTTTTGAGAGCCAAATTTTTTAAACTTAAACTTCTTCTAACGCCACTTCTTCAAAATAGACTCGCCCAAGCCATGGTATTTTGTGGAAGAGCCACACTCAAGGGGCCAAAGAGCCGCATGTGGCTCTTGAGCCACAGTTTGCCGACCATGGGCTTAGCAGAATCCATAATCTCCTGGAGACTATGCAGTGCCATGCCAGGGTAAGGTTGTATGATGGTGATTAACTACTGGATATTATATTCTTATAAGCAGCAAGTTATCTTGATTCTGAGTCTTATTAATACAGACTATTTCCTATTTTGACATGATCAATATAATATGCTTAAGGAAAGTGGATTAATTTTAGATTCTATACTCTACTTATTTGGTTTTCCTTCAAGCTAATGGAGTATCAGTGGTGTTTGATCCTCGTGCATGATGGGTGGCCAGGCTAGGGAGGGGTGGTCACCAAGGTTGGCTGGGATGGAGTTTTGATAGCCAGAAACTTCAGCAAATCAGCATTATTATTGCAAAGTCCAAGGTTCAATGGAACCAATAACATACTCTAGGCCGCAGTGTTTCCCAAAGTGTGGTACATGTACCCCCAGAGGTACGGGAAGAGTTTGGTGGGAGTACGCGTTGCACCGGAGTTTGGTGGGGATGTGTACTGCACCATGCTTAGCTGCGCCTAATTCTATGTTCTCATGAGTACGAGGGGTACTCAGCATTACGAAAATTATAGAAGGGGTACACATATGTCAAAAGTTTGGGAAACACTGCTCTAGGGCAATAGGAATAACTGAGAAATTGTGATTCACTTGTGTGGGATTTTTATTCACAAAAATGACCGCAAAATTTGCCATCTTCTTCAAGTTTGGCAGCTAATACTATCCACTAGTTAAGAAAGCAATTTATAAATAAAAAGACAAAACTTTAAATAGAGTGTTTCTTTTTTTTTCAATTAAAAATGAGGTAGAATGCTGGAAATTCAAATTATGAAGAGAAATATATAGGGAAATAACCACAACTTCTCTGATGTATCATTCTATTTATAGAAAATTGGGATTTAGTAGATAAGTATTTTTGTTAAAGATAAAACCAAATCTACTCCAATATTTCTATTTTTCAATCCTAAAACTCAGGTGAAAACTAACTCACCTATTTTCAAAATGAGTCTCATGAAGAATATCTTTACCAAGAAAATGTGCCATAAAAGATAAAGACCTGATATGTCATGATTTTTCTTCTTTCAAACAAAAAAAGGAAGAAAGCCTATCTCGTATGAAGACGGTGGTTGAGTTCGTAGCTCCTGATCCTTCATGAGAGTAGTTTACATGGGACACTCATGACTCCTGGCCTTTCGGACGCAGGCAGGACCTCATGTGACTAAGACTCAAGGGACTGAATCTTAGTGGGACTGCGGCCATCAGGGCACTTAGGGGCCACGAAGCATCGCCAGTGCCCATGACTCCCACATGGTAGCCAGCCAGCACCGGGACATTTCTTGGCAGGTTTGGGAACCCTAAAGCAAAGCTAAACTCTACACACCACCTCACACACAACTGACCTCCTTCCTGCCATCCTCCACAAAGCAGCCACACTGGGGTTTGAAAAAAGTGCCTGTAAACATTTTGTGGTTGGGATTGAAAAAATGAAAAAAAAGTACACACATAAAGGTGACTCACATGAATGTCTGTATTTTTCTAGATGTGGCATTTCACCTTGGTTTATATAAACGATGAGACTCCACGACGCATGGGGGGTGACTGTGGTGACACTGGAGAACGTGCAGCAGCATCTGTGTAAGGCCTGTGGACACAGCCATGCAGTCCCCTCATAGAAACGGCCACGAACATTGCTGCTGTGCAGTCTCGTCCCGGGGTCACTTCCGCTGGGGAAGGACAGATGAAGCTGAAGGAGGTGGGCTGCCTATTTCCCTTCCCTTTTCCTTGTCATCAGGTTTGCAAATAATCTCTCATGTTAGATCAGAAGTAGCTCATGAGATATATACAGTCCCATCTGCCAATTCCCCCCCCCTCGCTCCCCACCCAGGCTCCACAGCGAGTCTAACTCCCACTAGCTGGACCTGGTGGTGTCCCCCGACCCACTGAGCTGCCTCTTCCCAGCCAGGAGGGTGTGGGGCCCTGTGAGTCTGGTTGCCTTACAGTTACTCCCAAACCCAAGTGCATGGCTTTACTTTCCTCTTTTGATAACATTATAGAAGCTAAGAAAACAGCTCATGTGCCCTCATTTTTAATGATATAATGTAATCTCATTTTTAATTACCTGAACAAAAAGGTTTCAAGTCCATCAGATTGCCTCTCAGGGCTGCAGAGGTATTAACGGGCTCCAGAACCAATTACCTACATTTCCTTTTTACTTATTGCAAATGTGACCTTTTGTTAGAATTTGATTGCAAGTTTCCTGCTGTGAGTGGGTAACCATGGGCGTCTCGGGCCGGCTCCCCACGTCAGGGCGGCTGTTCATTTTAATTCCCTCTGATGGCTGCAGGACAAGTAAGTGTCTGGGACCTGGCGCCGTAATGAGAGGAACCCGGGGCCATGCAGCCCTTCAATGACAGACCTGCACATCCAGGGTGTGGGTGGAGGGAAATCGCCTGCCATCTGCCCTGAGGAAAGCAGGGCCGTGTGCTGCATGTGGTGTGAGGGCCATGGTGACTGCTGTAAAGATATGGCTAGGACTGGGGCAGGAGCTGTGGGAGATGGAAGGAGGAGAAATGGAGCCCGGTGGGAGGGCATCTGGGTGACGGCAGCCTGAGAGCTCACAACTCAGTGCTGAGCACAGGGGAGTGTCATGGGGTCAAGCCAGTCCTGAGGAATGAAGAATCCCACAACAGGACACAGCTGTGTGTCCCCTTCCAGCCTAGATCCATTTCCTCCACATGCTAAGGCTCCTTGGTACCTGCTCCTGGGTTCATGGGCTATCCTAGCAGCTCCCACCACCTCTTGCTATTAAGTACTAATATATATAGGAAGGAGGGAGGGGGAAGAGGAGAGTAGTAAGAAAGGGGCTGGTTTGGGGAAGTCAGCAGGGCACAGCTCAGGGGCACCCTGGGTTGGGGTTAGCTCCTCAGGGAGAATACTGGAGATGGAAGCCTGGGATTTCACTCCACTGCCACCTGGCCCAGGGCAGGGCTAGCCAGACTAGCAAGGATGGGGAAGGGCCTGCAAGAGTTGGGGCAGGGCTCCAAGCCCAAGGAGTGCTCACCGCCAGCTGCAGTCCTGGCAGCCCTGGCCTTTCCCTTTGACCTGGGGAGGTGACAACACATGGAGCCCCAGCAGCCGCAGACCTTGCCTCTGGAGTCGCCTGTGACCCCTGGCCCCAGGTCATGGCCTGGGTCCCAGACAGCATGGCTCCCATTTTCTGCTCAGCCATCTGAGGATGTCATGGGACACCTTAAGTAGCTATAGGACAAAGGGTGGGGACACCAGCCAGCCAGCTGATCCCTAACCCTCCCTGATGGAGACGTGGGCCATTAGGAGGAAGCGACTCTGGCAGCTGGGAAAGCCAGGAAGCCCCAAGTGCTGGGATAGAGAGAGGGGGCTGTCAGTGACCAGAGAACCTGACCTCTGTGTGGTCAGTCCCCAGTCAGTGCAGTCAGAGTAAGTGCGGGGCTGGGCACCAGACCTGCGGGGACAGGAGCTGAGGGCCCAACCAGAGCATGAACGACAAACTCATGCTCAGGGACACATGTCTCTTAGGAAAGGATATGCCAAGGCCATTTGTGTGTGTGTTGGGATGTGTGTGTGTGTGTGGGGGGGGGGGGGGGGGGGTAGGTAGCCTCTACTTAGCTCCCAGGCTGTTTCCTAAGGAAGTCTGAGGCCTGAGGCCAGGCACCCTGGGAGTGTCCTGACAGGAGACCACTGAACCATGCTGCAGGCCCAGGGCTTCCTGGGATGGGAGGCAAAGGACGATACAGACAGATCTCAGGAGCTCTGGGACAGAGGGGTGGATGGGACAGCAGGGAGAAAGAAGCATGAGGGTGTCCTGGAGAGGGTCTCCCTGCAGCTCTTTCCCGAACCACACGCTTCTCTCTGCATTTTAGTGTAGCTGGCCAGCTGGCCTACCGAGTACCCCCAGCCCACGCCTTGCTTGCCTCGCACCCCTACCAGAGCTCTTCATCCTCCCGAGGGAGCCTTGAGGCCCATGACACTGGCAACCTTAGGGAGGGATGCATTTCCAGAATTTCCAGCTGTACCTGGGAGTATGTTCAATAGAAGTTTCCTGCGGGATCCCTGAACTTCCAGGGCTCCCACCTCAGTGGCATTGTCTCCTGGCAGAGGACACTCGGGAGGTACTGCTGACTTGGCAGACAAAGTTTGAGAATCATCCCATACATGATGGCCATTCCAACTGCAAAACATGCTCCATTCATTAACAAGCCATCATAACTCACATGGAAGGCGCGGAGGGCACACGAAGGAGAGCGGCCCATCCACAGTTTACAACTAAGTTAAAGGAGCATAAGCACCCGAGCCGCGGACCAGGCCTCCCACAGTCGGCTGGGGGGTGGGGGGGTAAGGGGGGAATGATGGAAACACAGTGCCCAGGCCCACAGCTTGCCATGCACCCTGAAATGAAGAACCTCCTGGGAAGATAGGAGTGCTGTGTTCACACAGTGACTGTTGGAAAGTTACCTTTTCCAAAGTGGACAAAAGAAGTGAGAAGAGGAGCGAGCAGGTGACTCTTGAGATTGACACTGTGAGTTGCCACCTGGAAGGGAGGAGGATGGGCATCCTGGGAGCTGAGAGTCCTGAACAGGAGGGGCTGCAGAGATATGGCCCACATGCTTTCATCCAGTTCCTGCTCCTGCCTTCGCTCTGCCTGGCTCACCAGTGCTGCGGTCAGCTCTCTGAACTCGGGCCTTAAGAGGGGTCTCAGGAGGGGAAAGCATCAGAGTGACTGCACTTGGAGAGATGGGACTGTACTGTGAATGCCACCAGCATGGGCAGGGGTAGGGGACAGAAGTGCCCACCTGCTGGCCTGGGCCCCTCAGCCCTTCCCACCCTAGCCCAGCCCAGATCCTGGGATGGAGCAGCAGCTGTATCCAATCAGATGCCCTTTATATAAAGCCCAGGAGCGGATCCCCACTCACTGATGAGGGCTGTCCTCACTGGTCCTCACTGCCCTCAGATCCCGGCCCCTCCCCCATCCTGCACCCAACCGGGTGGGGCTTCCCTGGACACCCTGGCCCGTGCTTTCTTACTGGAGGGTGGTGAGGAAGAAATAATATTCCTTCACTCCCCCCCCTGGGTCATTCCTCCTCCCGGGTTCTCCCAGAAGGCACAGGCTGGTGAACATGCCCCTCCTCCTTGTCTTGCTTCTCCATTTAACTCAAAACATGTCACCCCAAATTCAGGTGCCAGGTGGCACAGTTACCTTAGACTAGAGGCCCAATGCATAAAAATTTGTGCAAGAGTAGGCCTTCTTTCCTGCTGTCACCTGCTTCCCTCTGCCACTCACAGGCACCTGAGCTGGCTTTCCTCCTCCCTGGCTTCATCAGAAAGGATGTCCGGTCTAATTACTCTTTTATTTTTTTAAAATATATTTTATTGATTTTTTTACAGAGAGGAAGAGAGAGTTAGAAACATCAATGAAAGAGATTCATCAATCAGCTGCCTCTTGCACACCTGCTACCAGGGATGTGCCCACAACCAACATACATGCCCTTGACTGGAATCGAACCTGGGACCCTTCAATCCGCAGGGTGATGCTCTATCCACTGAGCCAAACTAGTGGCCCAGTGCACAAAATTCATGCATGGGGGGGAGGGGAGCAGGGGGCGTGATCCCTCAGCCCAGCCAAACCCTCTCCAATCGGGGACCCCTTGGGGGATGTCCTACTGATTGCCCCTAACTGCCTCTGCCTGCTTGCCCCTAACTGCCTCTGCCTGCTGCCCTGATTGCCCCTAACCCCTCTGACTGCCTGATTGCCTCTAACTGCCCTCCCCTACCGGCCTGATCTCACCTCTAACTGCCTCTGCCTCGACCCCCACCACCATGGCTTTGTCCAGAAGGAAGTCGGATGTCTGGAAGATGGCCAGTTGACCCAGTCTAATTAGCATATTGCCTTTTATTAATATAGAGAGATTATATAGGATAGGATTGTTTAAACGGGGTGGGGGATGGCTTTTTCAGCAGGAGGAGATGCTCTTGGCAGACAAAAATTCATAATCCCTATATCTGGACTGATAGCCAGCCATATGCACTATACTGCCAAACCAGTCATTAAAAAACTGAACTGCTTTCTTACACCTTACACAAAACAGCTGTTGCCCTTAAAACCCCTCCTTAGCCCACGCCTTTCAGGGGTCCTCAAACTTTTTAAAGTGGGGGCCAGATCACAGTCCCTCAGAGAGCTGGAGGGCCGGACTATATGAACTACTAATTCCTACTGTAACACCTCGGCTGCGCTCACTGCCCAAAAAACCTGGCGGGCCGGATCAGACTCCTCTGCAGGCCGTATGTGGCCCTCGGGCCGTAGTTTGAAGACCCCTGCTAGGTTCTGCCTTCACAATTCACCCAAATTAGGTTCTAATTGGTCAGTTTCTATGCCAGTCAGTGTCAGAAGCTCCACCTCCTAGGCAGCCATTAGCTCCTCGCAGTTCACCCAGATTTGATTCTGATTGGTCAGTTTCTATGCCAGTCAGCATCTCCAGGCCTCTCTCTGGGCCTGATCAGAGAGGTGGGGCTGATCAACAGCCAGCCCAGACTGCTGGTGAGCAGGCTGAACTGTATAATACAGATTTCCAACTACCTTCTAGCAGAGAATTGTTTCATCAAACTGGTTCTTGCCAAAGATTTGGTGTGCATGAGAAGACAAGCAAGGGCTCTGGCCCAGTGGGGTCTGGTGCTGCCCAGGGTGGGGGACCACAAGATGCCTGGACACCAGAATGAAGATAAGCATGTCCAGGGCTGCCACACACTGCTGGGCTGGTAGAGGAGTCAGCTCAGGGCCTCAGAGTCAGATGGGCAGCTACACTTCCCCATGGAAATAACTGCCATACCCAGAAGGTGACCTTGAGCTAATGACATGTTCAAAAGCACAGTTGTAACAAATGAGCTCCCAGCACTCCAGTCTGGACTCTGCCCTCTGTAGCTGGCAGCTTCGCTACAGCCAAACCCTGACCACTGCCTCCCGTGACCTACCTATAAAATCAGAGGAATGCAGGAATGTCACAGTTAACCAAATTGGCAATTAAATGTTGGCTATACCACGATCTGATTCTCCAAACGAGCCTCAAAGTACAAGACCAGAAACAGCAGAAGTTGGCAAGGTCCTAGAACTCAGGCGGAGTGCTGTGTTCAGAGCCGTTATGGCTTTCTCCTGACATTTGACTCACTTCCCAACCTTTCCTGACTGCAAAAATTTCTTGAACAAATCACCAGCCAGAGAGGGCCAACTACTTCTAACTCTGATCTTTCTGACTTTATAGTTGAGATCATTCCTGTTGCCCATCAGGTAACCTAAACTCATTGCCCTTCCCCATCTCCTGCTGCAGATGTGATGAACGAAGGTACCAAGGTCCTGCCCCTCTGACAGCAAGGCTGGGGTCCCCTTGCTCACACTGACTGGCACTGGGCTCTGAGCTTTCAGACAATGTCATGCCCACAGCCAGCTTCAGAGGAGGTGTTTATGATCCCTGTTACAGACAAGGAAACAAAACTCCTAGAGATAGCAACTCTCACATTGATCACCAGCAAGCTTGAACCAACAGCAAGAGCTTGAACCAACAGCAAGAGCCAAGCTCTGCCGTGTTGTTGTGTCTGGTTGAGGGGCCCTATCAGGAGTTGGGGGTGTGCTCCTGGGCTGACCTCCCTGCCTGATTAGATGGTCTGACCAGGAACCACGTGTGCTATGAGTGTTCCTGGAAAAGGAAGCACACTGGTACCCGCTGGCCAGCTGTCAGTGAGCACTCTGACTCAGTGTGACGACAGTGAAGGAAGGAGATGCCAGGATGAGCTACATCCCACCCCCAAAGCCCTCCCCATTACATGTCCTCCCTTTCAAGGTTGAAACAGGTTCTCTGCCGCTGGAATCACTAAGTTATGAAAATGCATGAAATCCCCAAAGACAGAAGTCAAATAAGAAAAGCATAATTATTACAAAACAGAAGGAATTTAATGCACATGAAATAGGCTCAGAACTAGAAGGTGGACCCTTGAGATAATTTAATATTGGATCTGCCTGGTCTCTGTCTTTCCGTCTTTATTTCCTAAGGTCTGTGCTGTGACATGACAGCCCCGAAAGCAGATCATCTTCACGAAGATTAAGTTGTTAGAAGAGTTCTTACGACTCTTAATTCATATTTTATAAGCCTTTGTGCATTTGGAGAGTGATCAACTGAAATTTAATTGGGTGCGATGTTATCATTTAACATTTTAAATAACTGCACAAAAATGAAATTTAAAATCCCCCAATGCCTAACAAATTAGTGCTGTAATACTGATAGTAGCCTCTGACTGACTGAGCACAGGTGGGCATGAGTAGAGGGGGGCTGCCCATGTGCCCTGCAGGGGCGCCAAGGGCTGTGAGGACTTCCATTGAACATCAGCCTCCCATTCAGTCAGACACCCGATGATTCAGAGCGTCAGTGGCTTCATTTTATGAGAAATGCTTAATAGCCATGAAAGTCAGCCATAGGCAAGCCTGCTGCCTCCTCACTCCTCTAGGAAGAGGTTCCCCTCGTTTTGGGGAATCCTGGCCTGAC